AAACTACGGAATTGTACATGTAAACAACGGTGAATTTTATGTTATGTGAAATATAGCTGAATGAAGGTATTATAAGAAATATTATAAAACTAAACACACAAAAATGAGTACAAGTAAAACTGGGTAAATCTGAATGAGTCCCTGGTTTGTATCAATGTCAATATCCTGGTTATGATATTGTACTGAAGTTTTGCAATATGTTACCTTTGAGGGGACACTAGATAAAATGTATTATTTTTTACAACTGGATGTGAACTTATAATTAGCACAAAATAAAAGTTTTAATCAAGAAATAAAAAGAGGAGGGGATGGTGGACGTGGACTGTTTTCTTTCCTAAGTCTCTGGCCACAATGAAAGTCTAGAGTAGAGAAGGGGGGCAATCTGCCTGCCTCAAAAGTAGAGAGAAGCTCCCAGAACAGCTTTATTCAAAGATACCATTCTCACAAAATCTCTCCTTTCCTGAGTTGACAAGGGCTTCAGGAGTTCTGACAGGTTCTTGGAACTATTCCCTTTATAAATCTGCCTGTTGGTCATTGAGAGGAGGGTCTTTCTCACACTCCCGTTGGTACTCAGTACTCAGTCAAAATCAATATAGGAAAACTCCCATGCCAATATCCATTAAAATATGTAAAGAACATGTTGCACTGCACACATTAAAAACAGCAAGATAGATTTTATTTGGACTACCACAGTAGGGGAGAAAGACTTCAGAATGAAACTGAACGCAACTCTGAATACAGCAAAGATAGCCAGGGATTTATAGAGAGTGAGCAACATGAGGGGGTTAGAGAATGGAAATCACCAAGAAGAACATCAAGGATAGAGGGATTCTTGCTAAACTGGCCTAATGGGATTCTTGCTAAAGAGAGCCAGGACTGGGGGGTGGGGCGGTCAAAGTTAGGGCATGAGGGACTTGACTAGACATCAACATGGGGAACTGGCTCAACTGACTTCGAACAATTCTTTGCTAAAATATGGGATCAGAAAGTGTGGATAAGGAAGGTTAATGTTAAGGCCTCGTCAAAAGGAAGGCTCAGGGGCTGGTCCTGTGGCCTAGTGGTTAAGTTTGCACACTCTGCTTTAGTGGCCCAGGGTTTCACCGGTTTGGATCCTGGGGGCAGACCTAGCACGGCTCATCAAGCCATGTTGAGGTGGCGTCTCACAAAGTGCAGCCAGAAGGACTTACAACTAGAATATACAACGATGTACTGGGGGGCTTTGGGGAGAGGAAGAAGAAGGAAAAGAATGATTGGGAACAGATGTTAGCTCAAGTGTCAATCTTTAAAAAAAAAGAGGGCTCAGAACAGCCTTACTAAAGTTTGGTCAAGGAAAGGGTTTCTGTGAAGTACAATCATTAAAATTATTAAATCATTCAAATTATTCAGATATTGCAACTATATGACTAAAATAAGTAGACTCTCTTATGCTGTGAAGAATTTTTTTATATTTCTGATTGAAATCATAAATCAAATTCTACTTTTTCTTTGTAATATTGTGAGAGGTTTTTGTGTGTGTATGTACACAGTGATGCACAGGGTCAAAAGTATTTACAGAAATGTGAGGATTTCACTGACACAAATTTGTAAAATCTCCCTTACCTGTTGTAGCTGAGGGGTTTCTCAATTTTTACTTCATTTTGTATGTATAAACCTGGCCTTTCAGAGCCATTGCAGGTTTGATTGTATTCTTTATATTCCGCAATATACAAGGGGTCGGTCTATATTATTTCTTACAACTGCATGTGAATCTACAATTGTCTCAAAAGAAAAATTTTAAAAACAAGTTGTACATTGTACACAGTACACTGAATATGATTAAATGTGTTGCAGGATTATGGTGCCATGATGATAATAACAATTTTAATCAACACTTGGAACCTGTATAGAATAAGGACATTGTATTAACTTTATGTTTGTTCTATGTGGCAAGTAACATATATTCTTCTCTCAATTTTATGTAAAAAGTTCTCCTGAATTTATTTCCAATTATTTGCTGTTTTTATTTTGCCTATATTAAGAAAAATTTTAAGTTGCACAAAATAAAAGAAAATTATATAATGAAAACAAAAAAAAATATCAAAGCAGAATAGATCAATGGTGGGCAGGAGTTGGGGGAGGGGACTTCTAAACACTAAGGGACCACATGAGGAGTTCTTAGGGGTGCTATAGTTGTTCTGCATTCTGTCTGTGGTGCTGATTACACACATCTTTGCATTTGCAACACTTCGTAGAACTGTATGCCAAAAATGTGAATTTTTCTATATGCAAAATACAAAGGGTTTTAAGAACATTAAAAAAAGATACAATGCAAACAAAAGACTGGAAGAGCAATGCCAAAAAAGATAAGCATATCATAAATCTAGGATATTTTTATTGAGTTCTATCTTAAGGGATTGTGTACAGGTATACACACTGGAATGAAAGCAAGCATGATTTTATACTTTAAAACCCTTTGATAGAAGTAAAGGTCAAATATGCTGTCATCTATCTTGGAAAGTTTTCTAACTTTTTTCATACCATTTATCAAATAATCTAATTACGTTGTTAAGCATATAATTATGTAAGCATATCTAAGGTCATGCAATGATGAGTACATGAGAAATGTGTTTTATATATCAACAAAGGATTGGAAAATATAAGTGACAAATCACATGTTCTGGAATAACAAATCTCCTCTATGACTACCATAAATATTATTCTGTTAAATTAAATTAAAACTGCAAGGAAATAAATTTTATGCCCTTGAAATTAAGCTGAATGACTATAAATCATTCAGCTAAGATACTTTTCTATAACTACAGTCTTCCTCTAAGCTAAATTGAACGACACCATGGATCACCTTTCCCATCTGCTTTCCCACCCAGGAGCAGTAGATTCTTCATGTGAGCCAAAGGCCATCCGTGGCTCTCTCCAGCCCTGAGATCACTAAGTATGATCAGGGCCAATCTGTAACATACCAATTAGGAACCTGTCTGGCTGCTGGCTATCTCCAACAGAAAAAACTTAAACATTTCTCTAAGAAAGTCATAACTTTCCTCACAGGAGAAATATTCAGATGGAATTTTTGCAGTAATTAATGAAAACTTTGCCCAAGAAAAAAGCCACTTGATAAAACTATTCATCTTTCCACACATTTTGAGAATTTTTTTCTAAAACAAAAAATAAGTTTTTATGGTATGAATTTTGTAAGTGTTTCACATTGATATAACACCCTTACTTATGTTTAAAATAATTTTTGTTTGATATACTAATGTTAAAGAAAACACAGGTCTGTTATAACAAATTTAGAATATACAAAGAATGAAACTTAAATACTCTTAATTCCTTGAATACAGGATAACGTCTCTCAATATTTCTGTGTATCAAGATCGTAAAACTTTGCAACTTGTTATATTCATTTAAGAATCTATTATGAGTATTATCCCTTAGTATATATTCTTTTGAAATGTAGTGTCCACAAAGTGTAGCATCATGACTGAAATTGCAGATAGTGGAGTTTACAGCTGTCTACATCCTGCTGGTTCAGTTAATTGGCTTTCCACATTGGATAAATTAGTTGACTTTCTAGACCTCATTTTCTGTAAAATGGGAATAATAAATATCATTAAACTCTCCAAAGCCAATTTGAACTAGAAAAAATCTTGAATTTCTTGGTACATAATGATAACTGCCAAATTGTGGTGGATGTGGGTTATTTAATACCCATCATCTCAGTATCAGATTAAAATAAAAGCAAATCGTAGTCTAACTGTTTCCACACAGTATATACAGGTATATTTTATTTGCAAGTGGACATAAAACACTTCGTATAACCTGGTGCATGCACATGGCAAAGTTTCATCACTCTATTTCATGTGTTACAGTCACAATCTCACATGAAAAAGAATTCAAATACTATGCAACAATCTTCTAAGTTCTGTTTCCCTTACACCCAGCATCAGTAAATCAGAAATCCTCTGACCTTATGTCTAGATAAGTGCCTGTGATGGTTAATTTTATGTGCCAACTTGACTCGGACACTGTGCCCAAATATTAGAATGTTTCTAAAAGGGCATTCTTTGGATGAGATCGGCATTTAAATCTGTGGACTTTGTGTAACACAGAATACCCCCCATAATGTGTGTGGGCACCATCCGATCAGTTGAAGCCCTGGCTAGAACAAAGACTGACCTCGCCTGAGCAAGAAGGAATTCTGACAGTGGACTGTCTTTGAGCTCAAACAGCAACTCTTCCCTGAGTCTCCAGCCTGTTGGACTACCCCATCAGATTTGGGCCTTCGTCAGCCTCCGCAATTGCATGAGAAAATTCCTTAAAATCTATCTATCTATCTATCTATCCATCTATCTATCTATCTATCTATCTATCTATCTATCTATCTATCCGTCCATCCGTCCGTCCGTCCGTCCATCCGTCCATCCATCCATCCATCCATCCATCCCTCCATCCATATCCTGTATCCTGTATCTTGTTGGTTATGTTTCTCTGGAGAACCCTGATTAATACAGTGCCCAAACTAAAGGAATAAGTCTTAGGCTCACTAAATTCTTATACTCTATCTAGGTGAGAAAGGGAAATATTTTGTTCAATCCATATATCCATATTCTTTATTAATCAAGTTAAGTCATATCTCAATGCCATAGAACTACTTTTGTTCAAAAAATATTAAAATGTTAATTTTTTTCTTACAGTTGGGCTTTAGGACTTACGTTTTTACTTGTTTGATTTTAATATGTAGAAAATTTCCTATAGGATAGCTTTTTTTGCCATAAGGGAAGATTAGGGGTTCAGAGATAAAGCTATCAGATACTTGGGCCTCTCAATCTGGAACTGTGTATCCAAATTTATTTTCTCAGATACCTGTGGAATGTTTGATAGAGCACTGCTGCAGAATCAGTTACACCATCTGCAGTGGTCTATTATTCTCTCCCCCCAGTTTTCAGCTCAAAAAGGCAGAGTACAGAATGGATCACTGAATCTCTTCATTCTCCCTTTCTCAACAGATCTAATTGCTGCCTCTTACTTGGGAATGGAATGGATGAAGCGATATGTATGTGTGAGGGGAGAGGACTAAGAGAGTATCCTTAACAGGCAAGATTTCAGCTTCAAAGGTAATTAATAACCCCATGACAGAAATACTTGCAAGAAAGGAATAAATTGTGTTGACGGAATTGACCCAAAGGGAATTAACCCAGTGGTAGTATAGGGTTCCTCCAAAGGAAAGGAGAGCAATTCAAACCACAGTGTCTGAGGGGTGGCAGAGAATGCATACCAGGTTTGTATGTGTGTTGATCACCAATGAGAAGTAAGGGAGCCTATCAGAGACACTGGAAAGTCCTACTGTCTTTCTGAGGATATCTGCCTGGGTTGCAGGAGATATGGGAACAGAATCCAGTACATAGGGGAACGCTCTGGCAATATCTTCATGGGGTTTGTCAGAGTTTAGCTCCATCCAAGTTTGCCTGTAGGATCAGTAGCAGGACCTGCAGCAGAGTTAGGGCAAAAGGATCAGGAAGGCACACTGAGCAAAGGTTGTAGCATGACATTTTGCAGTCTCTCACAAGTTGAATCTAGTTATACCACGGATAAGCAGATGATTTCCCAACCCTGCACTCAACATAGCAGCAGTTTTTTCAGATCCTGTTAGCAGAGGCACAGAGGAGATGAGAACCACAGCATGAAGTAGAAGCTCCCATCCAACACCTACCCCCCAAACACACACATGTGCTCACTTGCACACTCACTGAGAATACAGTTGTCTCCCTGTTGTTACTGGTCACTCAGTTGCTGAAATAATGTGGTAGTTTATTTCCACCTGCTGCTGGGCGGAGGACAGAAACACTGCCAGCGTCAACGTACATCTGTATGTACAGCTGGCAGTGTCTTTTCATCACTGCCCTGAGGCTTTTCTAAGACACTTGCTGCTTGTAAGGCCATTGTCACAATTACTGGACCTCTTCACCGCCGTCACTACCCCTCTTCCTTCCACTTTCCATCTGAATTTTCACAAAGACCATCCAAAATGTGTCCCTCCTAATACTCATTTGATCTCTGCCTTTCTCTTTCCTTCTCAGCTCTGTAGATCCTGGATGAGAAATCAGAGGATCTCTGGGCAGTAATGTTACATTTCTACTTAGAGGGATTGTCTTGTCCTGTCACTAACATGGGTGATGGTTAAGAAGACTTCTCTCCCCTTGCTCCCATCAAAGCAAAACTATGGGATGCCTATTTCTTATCTCGATATGAACCCTACTCAAAGGAGGACACACACTTGTCCTCAAGGAATCTAATGATACTGGAAAGTTCCAAGATCTGCAGGCGAGTCAGCAAGTTGGAGACCCAGGGGGTTATTTCTCTTCCAAAGGCTGGCACGCTGGAGACCTAGGAAGAGCAATATTTTAGTTTGAGTTCAAAGACAGAAAAAATGTCCATTTAGAAGGCAACCGGGCAGGAAAGAGTCTCTCTTACTAGGGGAGGGTCAGCTTTTTTTTCTATTCAGGACTTCAATTGTTTATGTGAGGCTCATTCATCAGGAAGAGCAGTCTGCTTTACTCAGTCTACCTATTAAAATGTTAATCTCATAAAAAACACCCTGATAAGAAACTCCCAGAATAATGCTTGACCAAATATCTGACCATTCTGTGGCCCAGTCAAGTTGACACATAAAATTAACCATCACAGACACTTACTTTCCAACATAAATTTTGCATCTTGTATTTATTCATTTATTCTATAAATATGTATTGAGCATCTGTTATGTGGCACCAAAGGGTCTGTGCATTGGATGATTGGACATATGTAGCAATATTGTTGATGATCTACCCAAATCTTTTTGGATTCCTTTTGACTATTCTATGAGCTCCTCCTCCAGCTTTTGGGGCATTTTGCTTCTCATGGTCTGCACATGTACCTCTCGGTGGAGGAAGGTCTGAGGGCTCCTGAAGAGACTGCAGTTCATGTAAGAAGAAATCCAGAAGTGCCTGAGCTTACCTGCTCTCCTCCCTACCTTCCTGCCACCGTCTTTAGTCAGTGACACACCTGTGTGTGAGAACATGAAAGCCCAGCTCTCTTTCCTTAAGTTGTGAGACACTTCTAGGTGAAATTTGTGCTCCAGAGTTCTCTGGTGAGAACAGGTCAGACTGAAACCTTGACAGAAACCTCCCGTTTGCTTGACTTTTTCCCCATCCCTGGCCACTCTCATCAGCTTGTCCTGTGAGCACTTTCTTAGGAAACACTCAAAGATATTGCTTCTTGAATAAAGAAAGTATATGTGATTAACCTGATGGAGCTTTTAAACAAGGAACGAGGGCATCCTCTTCTCTGCTCCTAGTCTAAGGTGAGAGTATGAAGGTTGTTTCAGTTTATTTGTACAAATAATTTCATTGTTTTTTGAAATTCTAACATTTAATGGTTAAGTCTTTCCTGCGAATTCATCAGTACACTGGGCTAAGCTTTACTTTTTATTTATCTGGGGTCAATTAAGGACACAGAAGAGATATATATAGATTTCTTTTTTTGCTGAGGAAGCTTCACTCTGAGCTAACATCTGCTGCCAATCTTACTTATTTTTTCTTTTTTTTGCTTGAGGAAGATTAGCCTTTGGCTAACATCTGTGCCAATCTTCCTCTATTTTGTATGTGGGTCACTGGCACAGCACAGCTGTTGAGTGGTGTAGGTCCACGTCCGGGATCTGAACCTGTGAACCCAGGCCACTGAAGAGGAGTGTACAGTCTTAACCACTATGCCACAGTGCCAGCCCCTCAGAGAAGATGTTTTTATCTTCTCTTACAGAACATAATGTAGAAGTAGTTGCTCAGCCTTACAAATAGAACTGTGAGCTATGCTGTGTTTTACAAACACATTAGTACCCAGAAACCCTGCACTCTGACAGGCTGAAGAGAAGTCTGATACTCCCCAAATAGACCAAAGAACTGCCAAGTAGAGATCACCTGTACATTACTCTCTGTTTCTTCCTGGCACACTGGATGTACAAAGGGAATGCCTATGCATAATCATGTTTAAAATAGGTGACATTAGCAATTACAATGTTCTAAATGTCACACAGTTCTTTTCTCTTCACTCTACCCCAATCTCCACACTTCAGACACCTACTCTCAGAATGTTCTTGTCCTTATAACAATGTGGAAAATAGCTGAGGACCTAGAATTTTGAGAGGTACAAGGGACATTAAAATTTATCCAATTTTACACCTCATTTCACAGTTTGTTGCAGGCTTTGGAAAATAAGTCACTGATGGAATTAAGTGTCTAAATTTAGTATTGAGCAAATTATGGAAAACACAGTTTTGTTTAATAAAATGAGTTGCCACAAGGCTCACATACACATAGGGAAAATGAAGATTTTGTCATGACCCTCTCTTGACATACAAGTCTCTGTTCTCACCCAAGACTTTAAGGATGAGGCTTATGCCTCCAAAGCTAATGTGAAGAGGTAAGGCTTAAGTGAAATATGGCTCAAAGTGGTGTGGGGGGACTTCAAGAAATTTAACATTGAAAAAGTGTAAATTGTGAGTGGAGAAGATATAAGTAATAGGATTTGTAAGCAGATTGAGCTCAGATCATGGATCGTGCATGATACACAAGAAGAAGCTTGGATTATCAAGTGGCAAGTGGAGATCTTTGATAGCTGTGAAGAAAGGAAACAATATGATCACATTTGTGTTTTAGGTTGTCCATGTGCTCTAAGAGCCTACGGAGTCTAACAAATGTGAGACATTTAACATGAAGTGCTATAAGATTTCAGAGGCAGAAAATATTATTTCCAATTGGGAAAAATCAAGAAAGACTTGCGGAATAGAAGATATTGATACTTAAACATAAAGGGGCAAAGTTATGAAATGAGCAGTGTAAATGGAGAACAGAGCCACTCTGGCTGGAGTGTGAGTGTTCAAGACAAGTGACAGATAAAGTCTTATAAGGAGAGTTGATGCCAGGTTACAAGGTTGACTATTAGATAAACAAACAAAAACCTGGTATGTATTCCTTGGGTAATTTCTATGGATGGCAATTACAACACTAAAATTATAACGGGCAATATTGGGTATATTTTAGCAACAGTTTTCTTTAAATTTCACAATTATTTCTCCTCACTCTTTATAATAAGCAAATAAAAAAATAAGCACCAAGCTTGATCTACAAATTCCTTTTCACAGATCATATAATATAGCATGAGTTATTTAATTTACTTTGTAACAATTTTGGACACTGTAAGTCAGACTGTTCTCCCAAGTCCTGAGCTCTATGAATCTAATTCTTCTGAAAATGGACACTCTGCTTTCGACTCAAATATCAGGTTGATCTGAAGTCCTTTATCATTCCTGGGCCTCTTTTTAGTCAGTGAAGGAGTAAAATCTTCTCTCTTGGAATCGAAAGCAGGACAGACTATGGATTACTAGCTGTAATTCCCTAAGAGTATGGATAGTGCCATGTTTCTCTCTCCAACGAAACTCTTAGCATATTTCTATAATCTCAATAAAAATTAATCCTTAATAAACATACATGTTAAAAGATGTGGGGTAGAGATGTTAAATAGGAAGTAAATTGGAAAAGAAGATGATCACTGTGGACTATGGTTGCTTTGATCTATCTGTGACTGTCAAGGTTTTCAGGGCTCCCACTCTGCTAAAGTTAGCTTTACACCATTTTGCTGTTAAGAAAACCTGCGTCAGGACCTGTTTTTGCTAACTGGAAGAAATCCGAAGAAGATTTTCACTTTTACAAAAAAAGACGAAGAGCAAAAATAGCATTCAGTGTTTGTTTTGCAGCAAGCTGTTATGGAGGCTAAACAGCCAAGCTTACTGTCATATTTCAAACCTTCCACATCAGCCAAAGCAGGCAACAAATCTCAAGCTTCGATTTCGAGCCAGGCAGATATAGAAGAAGGTGTAGACATTAATGACCTGCCTGCCCTGATGGATCCAGCTGACCATGAAATATTAATAGATGACCCTCTTCCTCTCTCTCCTACACTGCAGTCTCCTGTACCTCTCCTCACCCCAGCCTTAGACAACTCAGCCTAACACCATCATCGCCACCATCACCAATTCACTGTCGTCCGGTAAGTGAAACTACACTTACAGACGTTATTTCTACTTTGTATAAAATGTGTATTTATCATATCATTCCTGCTTTTACTAAGTGTTAGTGTTCTTTTAGGTTGTATGTGTTATTTGGTGTGATTGGGTAAGTTATTTTTTGAGTCTTGGAATATTCAAAAAATCTTCCCATATAAATTAATGGTAATTGCTTCTTCACTTTATGTCATTTTGGCTTAAGAGAGATTTCATAGGAAAGCTCTACTGTCAAATAGTGGGGGAAACCTGTAATGTTATATCCTAAAAATGTAGGAATTTCCCCAAATTGTTATTTGCACTGCATTTTTACAAATGAGAATTGTTGTTTCTAGAGAATCACATCTATTAGATCACCCTGAAATAATAAAACTAAGGAATGATGTCATACCAGCAGAAACAAGCAAAATATTATTTCTTTATTGAGGCCAGAATCACATTCTGAATTTTCTGAGAGCCAAGTACACACACACACACACACACACACACAAACATACACACATACCCACAATTTGATAATTTTATGGGTCTCACCTAACCAAAGAAGACAATTCAGGAAAGACAAATTCTTTCCTTACATTAAGCTAAAAGCATAAATTTTAGCTCAAGAATTCTTAAAATAGAACATACTTCAGTAATTTTGCTCTGTCTAATACCATGGCCTATGTGATCTTCAATTTAGTTTCCAGTTATGAAAGAATAACTATTTGATACATATTTTCATCTATTTATCTCTGTTTCAGTTATCTGGATACAATACCCACCATGCCATATATAGATTTTCCTTAAGAGATGCATAATATAATTTAGAATAGACTCTAAATAACTTTGTTTTCTGTTCTAATTGTTAATTGGAATGTCCAAATCACTTTGTGTTTTTAATTGAATTCCTTTTTATTTTGGCCTCTGATCTGTGGACCTTGTAAATTACAATGAGATTCTATATTTTAAGAGCAATGAGGTGAGATTTCTTTCCTGAATAAAGTGAAACAAATATTGCTAGCCTTAGGATAACTAAAAATGATACCAGAGCAAGAACTTCCTGCCAAAAACAAGACTGAAACTATCATACTTTTGTTTTCTTTAGCAAGTCTAGAACATTCCATTGTATTGTCCATGCATAATATCCCAATAGGATAATGAACTACACCTTTAATTCATTCCACTATCAATTATCTAAGTCATTTTTTCTCCATAAATATGAGATTTAACAAAGGCTTTGTATTTATTAACTTTATGTTGAAAAATATTAATAGTCCATGTTATTTCCAAATGACAACTAAACATAAGGATTTGAGGAGAAATAGAGATAAGCATAAAGTAAATTTTAATATTTGTATAAATTTCAATTATTGAATTTCAAATTAAAATATATATTCTCTTAATTAATGCAATATGTGTTTCATTTAAATTACTTCTGAAAGATGTGCCAATGTTGATGTGATTTGAGGCTCATGAGAGTTCTGATAAAAAACAATTTTAGGATATAATATGTAAGATAAGTTAGACAAGAATTTTTGTTTCTTCTATTTTGAGGATGTGTTTTGTAAGAAGAATTCTTTTTTCTTTTTAAGAAGCATTTCCTATCTGAGAGTTCACATTAGATCATACTACAAAATTATTTGATAAATATTTTCACTTGATGGAAGATGATCAGCAGGGATTAGTGATTAAGAGCATGACCTTTGGAGCCAGGCTGCCTGCATCCAGGTTATGTTCTGCTACTTACCAACTGCATGGCCCTGTATGGTTACTTTAGCTCCCTGCACGTTCCAAATTAAAAACTTATGGACTTCTGCTAAGACAGTACATTGAAGGAAATATGTAATCCTTAAATGCTTATATTAGCAAAAATGAAAGGTTGAGTATTACTGATCCAATCATCTAGCTTTGAAAGAATTAAAAAAATAATAAATTAACCCCCCAAAATAAAGAAATGTAAATGTATGAATAAAAATCAATAAAATAGAAAAGAAGCATACAATAGAGGGAAACAGAAAAATAAATGCATGTTCTTATATTCTTCAAAAATACAAGTAACAGTGACAACCTCTGGAAAACAGAAAAAAGAAGAAAGAGAAAAAGCTAATAAAATATAATATAGATATAAAACGGGGGATATAAATAATGTAAATATTAAAAATGATTAGAGGATGTCATAAACACCGCTGGGCTAAAGGATTTGAAAATTTAGAATAAATGCTCCAATTTCTAGGAATCATGTTATTTACTCACAATAACTCAAGATAGATACAGAAATGCTGAACAGGCCAAGAAGCATGAAAGTATTGAATTGGTAATTAAAAATCTTCACAGAAAGAAGTCACCAGCTCTATAGAGTTCCTTAAGTGATTTCCAACAAACAAGCAAGGAACAAATAATTCCTATGGAAAACTTGCAGAGTTTAATTAAAAAAATCAATCATAATCTAAATATAAAACCACTTATATTATTTTTAAAAAAGATAATTACAGGAAAAAATCCTAATATAAATATTATCAAATTAATTCCAGAATTCTTAAAGAAAACAATACTGATTTGAGTTTTTCCTTGGATTATAAAGTCTAGAAAATGTTTATCAAATATTATTACATTAATCATTTAAAAGAGAAAATATAGTTTTCTACTTAGAAGCAGACAAAATCATCCAATAATAGGCAATTTACAATTATGATGTCAACTCTTAGCAAATTAGGGACAAAACAGTACTGCTTCAAGCTGACAACAGACATTTACAGTGTCACATACAGCAAAATCACATTTAATGGGGAGTGTTAAAGTGTTCCTCTTAGGATCTGGAAATTACAAGTGTGACTGCCCTTAACCTTTTAAATAAACATTGCAATAGCATTTGAGCCATACACTAAGATAAGAAAAAAGAAAACAAAATGTAAGGATCCGGCAATAACAAAGAAAACAATCATTATTAGCAGTTCAATTATCATCTTTACATATATATTCAAACAGTCATTAATAATGAATATATTTACATAGTCTCTTACTAATTCGAAAAATATTTATGATGTACCTCGCATAAATACCAAACATACATTTAGAAAAATAGAATAGCTGTCCTCATGGGGGCTATGTAATTCATATACCTAACTAATAATGGTGTATAAACAGTATGTTAGAAGATGTTAAATATAATGGACAAAACCAAACGAATCAGCATGAATAAAAAACAAACAACCGAGTAAGGATGGGGAACGTCATGGAGTAAGGAGGTAATTTTAAACAACTCCGTGAATAGTAATATTTGAACAAATGTGTGAACAAAGTGAGGGAAAGAGGAATGAAGCAATCTGGGAAAAGAGTCTGCTATGCAGAAACAAGAGAGACCCTGAACCAAGCTGAGTCTAGCCATCATCTTTGGAAAGAGCTAAGGGGAAAGTCATTTGAGCAGGGGAGCTCCGTGATTAGTATGAAGAAGGGGCAGGAGCCATGCATGTACAGTCTTCATGAGCCTTAGGAATTCAGCATTTATTCAGAGTGAAATAGGGAACCACAGAGAGTTTTGAGTAGGTAAATGACACAATCTAACATCCGAGCAAAAAGAACAAGTTGACTATTGTAACTGGAAGAAAAGTCGGTTAAACACTGTCATAACCTAGGTGAAAGGTAATAGTGACTTGCAATAAAATAATAACATAGAGTTGATGATAGATTTTGAAATCAGAGCCAACGGAATTTCTTGATACATTAGATATGATTGTAAGAAAAGAGAAGTTTCAGGAGTAACTTCAGATTAATTCATAAAATTACCAAGAGAGTTTAGCAAATTTGTTGATGTTGAAATCAATACATCAGGCAATTGAATTTTTATACAGTGAAACAAGCTTAAAATATAATTTTAAAATGTAATATTTTAAATAACAACCAAAAAGTAACCAAGCATAAATATAAAGAAATATACAAGCAAGACCTTTTATGGAGAAAATAATATAAAACTGCTATAAATCACTAAGGGGCACTTAAGAAATAAATAGAAGGTTCAATATTTTAAAATGTAAAGCTTTCCAAAATTAATACATTTCATATAATTCCAGTTGAACTCAGAAGAGACTTTTTGGGAGACTGGCAATTAGCAGAATGCTTCTAAATATTATAGGAGAACTACCAGCCTAGACAGGACAACTCAGTCCTGGAGTGGAAGGGAAAGGTGGGGGTTAATGCTCTGCCATATAATGAGAATCATAGTAGGTGGAAGAATAAACACATAGTATTACTGGCCAAGGGATAAATGAATAATCCATTAGAGCAGAAAACTGAGCCCTCAAAAGCCCAAAATGAAAATCTGAACATTTATTTATGATGAAGCTAGTATTGGACTTTGGGAGAAGAAACAAAACATTAATAAATGATGTTGTCAATTGGTTATCAAAATGGAAAAGGAATTAAGTCAGAATTCTATTACATAAAACATTCAAAATCAATTCACAGTGGATTAGACACTTACAAATAAAAAGAAAAGCTATAAATTTAAGAGAATGTTGTCTGCCTTTAGAAGAGATATGACTTAAATAAGACCTGAAAAGTATAAACAATAAAGGAGAAGATTAGTAAATTAAACTTGATAAAACTAAGTGCTACTCATTAAAGGATGCTATGATGATAGTGAAAAGGTGAGACACAAACTGGGAGAAGACAAAGATAAAGCAGAAAGAATTAGTTTTTAATGTATGTAAGTAGAACTTATAATCAATTAAGAAGCAATTAATCCAATGGAAACAAAAGTGATCACACACTTACTGACAACAAAACATAACGGATTTTATTAACCTTTAGAAAAATACAAATGAAAACCACAGTGAAATACTGCTTCACAGCCAAAGGGTTTATAAAGGAGTAAAAATATAATATTAAATGAAGAAAGTATAAATCTTATTCACTTCTTATTCACTATTGGTGAGAATGTAAATAACCACTTTGGAAAGGAACTAGGCATTTTCACTAAAGCTCAAAGGCACATATTTGATAGCAAATC